GATAAAGTATGTGGGACATAAACCATTCCTTTGAACAAGATAAACTTTCATTAAGTGAAAACCAATCGTTCAACCGATGCATTAAAAAAAAAACTTGCGCCAGGACTATCCAATTTTCGTAATCATGCTTACACCTAATAGGAGAATAAATTAATTTATGAAACATTAATGACAAGTCAATACTGGAAAATTATTTCTGAAATAGCGACGATAAAAGAGATGTAAATACGGGAAGGATTGTTTTGTATTTTCCTGCTGATGCAGTTACCAACAAAATCACAGTTTGGAGAGTAAATGCACTAATTTGTCGCAACGAGTACGAAAACACTCATCAGTACAAATTGACACAATTCATAAGCACAAAGTAACACACAACAGCCATTCCATGTGTATACGTGTTCAGAAGCAGAAAGTATCATGTTTTCATCTGAAATTTTCTGGTTGAAATCAGCAATGAAACAAAGAAGTTTTATTTGCGTATCAGAAAATGGACAAAAAGACATCAAACATTTGAAATTTACGTTACTAGAAATGTTTACACAACAAAAACGAAATAAACAGATCTAACATTAATCTCTTATTTTGAAATCGATATTTTTCATATATGAACCGTTTATTTCATCATTTAGATCCTTAATACAAGCTAATTTATATTGGGTCTTTTAATCTAACGTGATAACTGAAACATTTTAAATATCTGTAGCGAAGCAACATGAGAAACGTTCGATTGGTATCCTGCAATCAGCACTACCAAAGGTAAGCATGATTTGTTGTTATAGCTTTAATGAATGTTTTCTTTTATACCTGTAGTCATTTCGTTCATATACTGTATTTAATGTGAAAAATATCATAAATGCTACATCATTTTACAATTTTTATGTTATACTTTGAGGTGAAAACATTTTGTTGGAGCTTTCATTTAGTAGGAAGGAAGTAACAACAGTTAATGTGAAGAAAGGGATATCAGGACTTCGCAAGGTAAAGTTTTAATGCTGGTCTAACACCCATGCTGGTGGCATGTTTCAAAATCTTCAAAATTAGCTATAGCTTTGGCGGTCTCGTTGAAAGAGTGAAAACATTTGAGACAAGAAAATGTTACATCAGAGAACATGTAGCTGAAAAAGACAGATAAAATGACAGACAAAATGACTGAAAATAAAAACAACAAACGGCAAGTATAAATTAAGCTGATGCAGGCAGAAAATAGTCCATCAATTCCACTCAGTAAAATGTATCCATCCTCTTTCTTTGTAGGTAAATAGGCTGTGTTCTTTCTTTTATTGTAACAACTCCTGCCGAATAGAGCTAATGATATGTTTGAAACGAAATTGTTATTAGCATTGTTCAGAAAAGGTAATAACTATGTCTTTTTATACATGAGACTCTTTTTTCATTATCTTTAAAGATACAGAATCATTTCTGACCTCGATTAGTCCTTTGCAAGCAAAATACGTGCGCTTTCGAGGCGACTCAATCGTACAGGAGCTGACCATTTTGTAATAATTAATAAATAACCGCAACAGTTTTCGTTGTCATCAGTAATTCTGATGTTCTGTTGCTATATTCAACTGAAACTTTCAGATAACATTAACCTTTGTGGAATCTTCTTACTTTAATACACAAAGTAAGTCAATGGAGGAAACAGAAAGCTGCTTCATCATATCGCTATTTACAGCCACCAATCCCACCCCAATTTCTCAAAAAAAAAAGAAAAAAAAAAAAAGAAAAGAAAGAAAACTACGATCGTTTTGCGGAACCATGAATTTATTACACTGAAGTTTATCATTCAAGCCTGAATAATTGATATTCTTCCTTCAGTCGAAATTACCATTATCATTGAATTGGAATTCAGATTTAGATGTTAATTTGGGGACGGGGGAAGAGGGGCCAAGTAATTTAAGTTCACGAGTTCAGCCTACCGATCACTACCTTTTCACCTCTGTCCGCGTATGGTCGAGCCTCGAGCTCGGCTAACGTGGGTATGTGATAAAGCTTCCCAGTAGCTTCCAGTGGGCTGGTGGTTCTTAACTGCTTTTCTTGGGTTCTTTCTTCACACAATATTGCGCTGAGAAATGGCGTTAAACCCCAAAACATCAATAATTCGATGGTATTGTAACTGAATCTAATGAGGCGTCGGTGTTCATAAACAGTATAGTCACCCCAGGTTTAGCATCAGAATCAGTGGACGATTTGTACCGACTGGAGTGACATGAATAGATTATGACGATTAACAAAAATTAATCATCACATCAAACCAGAGATTAGGGAACTAATTTGGCGTTATCTTGCTAATTTGGCATATTAAAAATTCACGTGAATCACGGCGCTCATTGATAACTGTTACCTCAGAAAAGAATTAGGCCGAAGGTTTAGATTATGCTCCAAAGGTGTTACCTTTCGCCATCAGAAAAACATGCTTGTAATATAATATCATGAAATATGTGTATGTCAGAATAACAGAAGAATCTAACATGAAATATGTGTCAGTGTAACATCAGAATATAATATCATGAAATCTGAGAATGTCAGCATATATTATTAAAATATTATATCATGAAATACGTGTATGCTGGTATAATATCAAAATATAATATCCTGAAATATGTGTGTGTTAGTATAATATCAAAATGTAATATCATGAAATACGTGTATGTTAGTATAATATCAAAATGTAATATCATGAAATACGTGTATGTTAGTATAATATCAAAATGTAATATCATGAAATACGTGTATGTTAGTATAATATCAAAATGTAATATCATGAAATACGTGTATGTAGTATAATATTAAAATGTAATATCATGAAATATGTGTGTGTCAGTATAACATCAGAATGTAAATCTGCGAATATGTCAGTAAAATATCAGAATATATTATCATGAAATCCGTGACTGTCAATGTAGCTTAAGAATGTAATATAATGAAATTGGTCAATGTCATTATAGCGTACAAAATGTGATAGCCTGAAATGTGAGAAATAACTTGAAAATGAAAATAATGAATGCAAATAAATTAAGGTCGAGGACACAAAATGGAGTTCAGCATCAACAACTTCTTCTGTCGACAAGGTAACAGTGATTTGGACATAATGTCAGTTAAATATGTCAGCACATTAAATGACCTGCAATGTTTGGTCATAATTAAATGACACATAATCATCTTTATTTTCCTAGCGTAATCTCCCAAGAAAATGCCAGGTGAGTGAGATTTGAAATGCATTTGGTATCGATTTGTTTCTTATTGGAAGAGTTCAAGATAGGGCATAAATTTGTCGTACCACCGTCGGTCGTGTGATAACCATGACCATTTGCGGTGTCAAGGTTGGTTTCGCTACATTGCATTCTTCCACCAGAGAGGGATACGTTACGAATGTAAGTTGTCTATAAAGCGTAATGTAATTAGCTATATAAAAAATTAATCTTGTAATATATAATTCTAGAATATATATATATATATATATATATATATATATATATATATATATATATATATATATATATATATATATATATATATATATATATATATATATATATATATATATATATATATATATATATGATCGTTTATTACTATTTAAAATTAAACAATATACTTTTATAATTAATGGAAACAGATAAGTCATATGTCTTTTGGTTAAATTTTCGTTATATAATATTGTGTCAAGGTACATGCCGAGATGTGTCACCTGTAATCAATTAAAAAAGAAGAAACACCTGTAAAATATTATGAATTTTCATTGGAAGGTACATTGTTAATATTAATATATCTTAAGAGATACATGAGTGATGAAAAATATTAAGAAAATAATACTTCAGAAAAGAAAAGTGACGTATCGTTCGCGAAAATAATTGTCATTTTTCTCTGGATGAGGTTGGTTTGAACACCATCCTTGTTTTAAAAAAGTCATTTTCTATTATGCACATTTTTCAGTTGTATGTAGGTTATGATGTTAATTGTAATTAATATTAAAACAAGCCATTTCATTCTCTGAATGATTTTGGCTTTGAAATCCATCTCTGGACAAATTCTGTTCTCTGGAAGTTTTTGGTTTTGGAACGCCATCACCTTTTGCCTCATCTCTAATGAAATCCAGACGTAAATTCTCTCTCTCTCTCTCTCTCTCTCTCTCTCTCTCTCTCTCTCTCTCTCTCTCTCTCTCTCTCTCTCTCTCTCTCTCTCTCTCTCTCTCTCTCTCTCTCTCTCTCTCTCTCTCTCTCTCTCTCTCTCTCTCTCTCTCTCTCTCTCTCTCTCTCTCTCTCTCTCTAAAATTTTATCGACACCTAATAATTTACGTGCCGTTTTTACCAGCGCTGTGTGTGTGTGAGTGTTGCAAACATATCTATGAGAACCATGTGAAAGATAACATTAACGGTAATCATGTCATCCCTTTACAATTTAGCAATGGTGGTAGTTATGTTATTATTATTATTATTATTATTATTATTATTATTATTATTATTATTATTATTATTAGTATTAGTAGTAGTAGTAGTAGTTGTAGTAGTAGGAGTAGTAGTAGCAGTAATATTGTATTATTATTATTATTATTATTATTATTATTATTATTATTATTATTATTATTATTATTATTATTATTATTATTATTTCCTTTTCAGAGTAGAATAGTCTCTAACACTTTTTTTGCAGTCATGATCCTATTCTAGGTTTCTCGGCGTAGGACACGAATAGCACATATGAGTCGTCTTTAAAAAGGGTCTAAAATGTACATTATGCAGGTGTGTGAATTGATTTTGTCTTTGCTTCCGAATAGTGTGCTGGTTTGCCTTGTTGTTTTTCTCCAAGGATACTATCCTATTATATGGTCAATACAACAAAAGTGGACTGCAGCGGAAACTGGAGACAAATATAATCAATAAGGATTGATTGATTGATTTTCTTAAACCTCACATACAAGGCACAAGCCTTTATATCGTGTCGAGGCAACGCAATGAAAGGGTCTTGCCCAGACACGAGCCATTACTGCCGATCTGACCTGGTCTAGGCAGGATTTGAACCCGCGTCCCTCTGCTTGCGAGACTGGCATGCTAACCAATGCACCCATACATCTGATTGACAGATCTTTAACTATTAAAGAGGTAGAAAGCAGTACAGGTTTGACAAGGAAAGAATTTGTCTAGTGGCTAAGCACGCGAACTAGTCAAATTTTCTGGCTCTTCTCTTTGAGTCTTTTGAGTCTCGGTTTAGATTCTAGTTGAAAATAACGAATTGACTAGGTTTCCTTTGGTTTATTTTAGCACAGCAACACAAATAGGCTATGTGTTGCTGTGGCAACCGAAATGAGGCAACGCTAATCATGCTAGTCACATCTAATCATGTCCCATGATAATAAAACTAATAATAATGAAACAAATTCAAAATAGACGTAATTTGTTTTTCTATTCTGTTTCTGGCAGGCTTCTTTATATTTAAGCACATCCGTTAATTAAAAACTGTTTAAGGAGAGAAAGTAATAGATTGCTTTATTCTTATGTTTATAGACATTACAAGTTTAAATTGTATGGGAAGTCAAATAAATATGGTCTGACTATATAGCTTAGTTTTCTTTGAAGTGTGGTTATTTACCTTTCGTAGATCTTATGTCCGTAAGTTTGCATAAAATGTCTTCAAAATTAAAAAGTGTTTAAAAATTTTACTCGTGTATTCGTGTATCAAGATATTTAAGGCTTTGAGAAACATCTTCTGAATATTAAATAATTGCAACATTAGCTATAAAAATTTAAGGTGTGCCTTTTCATAAACTATTTATCTCTGGCGGATTTTATAAGGAACTATGATTTTCCTCCCGATTAGCGCGACATGCTGTTAGGAAGAAGATGTGGAACGTTAAACGAAGCTGTTATATTAAATAATTTAAATAATTCAGTACTTGTGAAATATCCATGGCCATGTGTACTGATTATCAATTATCCCAGCTTGACATCACAATCCGGATTTACGCCTTGTTTGGAGTCTTTGCTTTGTTAATGTCTGTTACCCTAAATCGTACTAAACGCAGCCGACTTTTAAATAGGATTCGGTCATGTGCAAAATTAAGCGCGTGTAGATAATTCCCAAAGTCGCTTCTGGTAATATTAGAGGTCAAGCTTCTAACTGGTAACTTAAGGTAATATAAGAGTTCACGCGTAAAAGGTAAGTCACGTGAGAATATTATGCAGCAATATTTACCCCACTTCCGGTTCTATGAACTAGGATGGAATGTATGTATCCGATGTAAAGAAATGAATGCGTTCTTAACATTATTTGCATTATGTAAGATTTTGAAAACTTCGAAATTCTTAAAGTTCTCGCGAATATGGCCAGCTTACTTTCACAATTTAACCGAGATGAACTTTAGATCATATCACAAATCTTCCTCCACACAAGTTTTAAGGTGACCTTTAAATCCGCTTTCTTGATTACTGTGCAGTATATACATGTATCTCACCCATTTCCAAAAAGCAATAATTATTACTTTCATGTATCATGAGCCAGTGGCCTATATTACAAATAAACACTATTAGTATTATTATTATTATTATTATTATTATTATTATTATTATCATTATTATTATTATTATTATTATTATTATTATTATTATTATTATTATTATTATTATTATTATTATTATTATCATCATCATCATCATCATCATTATTATTATTATTATTATTATTATTATTATTATTATTGTTAGTGCTATATTATTATTATTATTATTATTATTATTATTACTATCATAATCATAATTGTTATTATTCTTCTTCTTATTATTGTTATTATTATATTATTATTATTATTATTATTATTATTATTATTATTATTATTATTATTATTATCTTCATCATTGTTGTTGTTATTATTATCATTATTATCATCATCATCATTGTTGTTCTTGTTATCATTATTATTATTATTATTATTATTATTATTATTATTATTATTATTATTATTATTTTCCTGACTCTGCCCATATGCTCGACCGTTCCGGTGGCCTAAGTGGTTAGAACGTACACCTCAGATGCAGGAGGTCGCGGGTTCTAACCCCGGTCAAGTCATACTAAAGAAAACTGGTACTAGCAGCTGCCTCGCTTGTCGCTCAGCATTAAGAGCTTATTGTTAGTCTGGTAAACTTGGAGTCAGGATGATTTGACTGGATGGGACATGATGCTACTTGTCTTCGGCATGATGAACCAGTGCAAGAACTCAATATAAACTGACATACTTTAGACATCATTGCGATATGAATAAAATTCTTAAAGGTCCAACACACACACACACACACACACACACACACACACACACACACACACACACACACACACACACACACACACACACACACACACATACACACACGGTTCTTATCTATTTTCTTTCTAAAATCTATTGAAATGTAACGTAAACACAAATGTGATTAAATAAGTATCTTGGCAGATTTTTGTCCCCCAAAAGATATATATATATATATATATATATATATATATATATATATATATATATATATATATATATATATATATATATATATATATATATATATATATACAGTGTCGATTAGTGGGAAACATGCGACGCGATGCAAACTTTGTGTATCAGCTCCTTTATTCCAGTCATAGAGCGTGTAATTAATGTACATTAGCAGTCGTCGGTTTGTATTAATTATTTAATTATATAATATTAAAATTATTTTCCAGCAGGATGTTACAGTCTGACTTCAGATATATATATATATATATATATATATATATATATATATATATATATATATATATATATATATATATATATATATATATATATATATAAAGAATACAAATCATATGGCGAATAACAACCCTTTCAAGCGTACTGGATCCACCAAGGGATCACGTGTGTCAGGGATAAATTAAAATAGATGCAATAAACTGATGACGAACAGTACGAAACTAGTAACTAACTAGCCTAAGCGCTTTCGACTCTTAATGAGTCTTTTTCAAAGGCAAATACAAAACATATATATACGACAAACAAATAAACACAAAAACGTTGTGTTTGTAAACCTCTACATGGCTGTCTTCACATGTGCTAAAACTATAAATACAACCAGCTTGTACAGACTAATTGCGGAAACTGAAAACGTTGTATAATTCCCTAAAAGTCTACAAGCCAAAGCGACATCTATTTTTTCTTTTTGTACATATGTAACGCAGATTATATCCCGGATATTTGATTTTATACCGGTTATTCTTTTAGTAAAAATGAAGGATAATAAGAAGATTTAGAAAATGTTAAATTCTACTAGTGCATAGTTTTCATTTTCTAGTCTTCTTGGTTTAGACCGCTTGGTTTCAATGTTCTAAGGCGGCGTATCCAGTATGATTCCTTTTCCTTCCTGGTTTCGGAACTCCAGCTGTGGTTGTTAGCAATAGCGATAAGTATTATATCACTAAAAGTGTGGCCAGGGGAGGAGAAGTGTTCTGCGACCGGGCTTCTGTACAGCTTTTTTGTCATCCAATCAGATCTATGAAGGTTTATCCTTTTGTGTAGCATTTCAGTTTCTCCGACGTACTTAAGGCCACAGATCTTACATGTGATGAGATAAATCACATTCTCTGTTTTGCACGTTTTGTTCGGACCATGTATGTTTAGTTTTTCTTTAGTCACTGTGCTAGTGAATGTCTTGGTCTCTATCATATGTTGACAGGTTTTGCATCTTTTATCACCACAGGGTCCAGATTGACTAGGTTGGTTTTGACTAGCGATTGGCGTTAGCTTTGCCCTGACTAGGATGTCCTTTAGGTTTTTTGGTCTCCGGTAAGCTACTACAGGTTTGTTCGGAAGTATTAGGTTTAGTATGTCTGATGATTGCACGGTTGGCCAGTGGTTTGCGATGATTTTACCTACTTTGGGATTGTCTGGTTGATAGGTCAGAATAAATGGTATCCTATCAACCTTTTCTTTCTGTCCATATCTGAGTAGGTCATCACGGTTTGTTTATTTGGCCCTTTGGATTGCCTCCACAATCAGGTCTTTGTCGTAGCCTCGGTAAATTAAATGTTTAGCCAGCTCTTCAGACCTTCCTAGAAATCTTTCATCGTCGGAGCAAATTCTGCGTATCCTCAGTGCCTGGCTATATGGAATGTTCTTAATGCAGTGTTTTGGACGACAGCTGGTTGGGAGGAGATACTGGTGTTTGTCGGTTGATTTCGAATAGATGTCTGTGTGTAATTTGTTTTCCACCAGTCTGGTTGTTGAGTCCACGAAAACATGGTTTGAGTTGGAAATTTCTGCCGTGAATTTTATTGAAGGATAGAAGTTGTTTGCCTTTGATATGAAGTCATCCAGACTTTCTCTTCCATACTGCCACTTCATTTCTATATCATCGATAAAGCGTACCCACTGGTATGGTGTACGCTCAACCGATGCTAAGAGCTGACCCTCAAGTTTTCCCATGAAAATGTTAGCATACGAAGGGGCCATTTTAGTACCCATTGCAGTTCCATTGATTTGTAGGTAGTTTTCTTCATTAAATTCAAAGTTGTTGAGTTTTAGGACAAGCTCCAGGAGTTGGACTAAGAATTGTGTGGGTGGATTTTTTACAGTTCTTGTTTCCCATGCCATGCGTCGCTACATGCCTGTAACCCTTCGTTGTGCGGTATGTTGGTGTACAAAGATATGACGTCTAAGGAAGCAAGTAATGTATCTGGCAGTAATGGTTCGAAAAGCTTTGTTTTTTCTGAGATAATCTGAATGACACCGAAGAGTTCATCTGCCGACTAAAACTCAAAGCCCTTCATGTTAACAGTAGTACGCAAAGCCAAGAAACAGCTTATCGTTTCATTTCAGTCGCCGCAGTTGACGAATTATATATGGCAGGATACATAAAGTCATCAAACCTAATCCCCGAGTGAAATCATGTTTTCTTTTGAGGGTGTTGAACGTTCGATGTATCTTGGACCTTATGAAGACTGAAGTATTTCAGTGCAGGTTTCGAACCTAATGCGTAGCAAAGAGTGTTATAAGTCAACCGTTGACAATAATGTGTTTGTCAAGAATAATCCAAAACGATGACTCATTTCT